ATACTCACTTGGTATCAAAGGCAGCACATGCTGTTACTCCTGGTGGACTCTCAGGAGACTAGATCTGATCGCCTCCAAAAGGCCTTCATTTCTAATATGAACAGAGATAAAGTGCTCGAAGGAGAAAATCACAACCGAAGCAAACAGAAGGAAATTAGAGAAGACAGAAGACATGAGGAAGCAGAGGACAGTTTTAGTTTATACATCCACTTTTCATCTCAGAATAAAAAAATTAGTTGCAAGAATATAGCCAATATGGCCTTCATTCAGATCTTCCCAATGTTAACATTTCACATTTTGATACCAAAACTAGAAAATTAACACTGTTGAACCTACAGCCTTCCTTCAGATTTCACCCACTGTTCCTTTAATGTCATTTTCTGATCTGAGATTACACTTGCTCTTACGTGACCCACTCCCTTGCCTCCTCCAATGGCCCGTTTCAGAAAACAAGTACAAAGTATGAAATGTTCATCATTTTCATACTTTTAATGCAATTAACTTGATCCATGAGTACTGTGGTTCTTTCTTCTCACATTCCTTCCCTGCGAACTTACTATCCTTACCTCTGTAGTAAGTATCTATGGCATGAAATTTTGAGATTATATCCATTACTGTCACCCACAAACTTTTAGGTGCCATGATGAGTCTTATCTCAAGCTATGATTATTGTGTTTCTCTTTGAAAATTAAAATGTATGCCTAAGGTTTGGGGAGGGACTGACAAACATTGGCCTCAAGGCTAAATTTAGCTGCTGCCCATTTTGGTAAATAAACATTTGTGGATTCACTTGTGCATCATCTATAGCTGAGACCACACTATAGCAGCAGAGCTTAGTAGCTGCAACGAACACCGTATGGCCCATGGAGCCTAAACTATTATCTGGACATTTATAGAAAAATCTTGCCAACCCCTACTTTAAAAAAATGACTGAACTTTAAGAACAGGTACAGAGGCTTTGGTGGGTGGGTGAAGGAAGAAGGCAGGATATGGTGGTGTGTGCCTATAATCCTCATTTCTCAAGAGGTAGAAAATAGAGGATTACAGTTTGAAGACAGCCTGGGAAAAAGTTAGCAAAACCCTATCTCAAAACAAAAGCCAGGCCTGGTGGTACACATTTATTGTCCTTGCTACTCACAAGGCAAAGGTGGGATGATTGAGAACCAAGCCCAGCCCCAAGCATACCCTGAGATCCATTCTGAAAAAGGATTTAAGTAAAAAGGTTGAGTGTGGCTCAAGTGGTAGCATGCTTACCTAGCAAGTGTGATGCTCTGACTTCAAACCCAGTACTGAAAAACCAAAAAGATTTATTAAGAAAGAATGAGCCAGGGCAAAGAAACACATGAGGAAATGTTCACCATCCCTGGTTGTAAAGGAACTGCAAATAAGGACAACCCTGAGATACCATCTTACCCCAGTCAGAATGTCCCACATTCTCAAGTCAGCCAACAACAAATGCTGGAGGGGATGTGGAGAAAGAGGAACCCAATTACACTGCTGGTGGGAATGTACACTTATACAACCACTTTGGAAAGCAATCTGGAGGGTCCTCAGAAAGCTAAATATTGACCTCCCTTATCACCCAGTCATACCACTTCTAGGCATCTACCCTGAACAACAGGAACCAGTATACAAGGACACGTGCACCTCCATGTTTATTGTAGCTCTGTTCACAATAGCCAGGATATGGAAACAACCCAGATGCCCCACCATAAATGAATGGATCCAAAAATTGTGGCATCTATACACAATGGAATATTATGCAGCCATTAGAAATGATAAAATAATGGCATTTGCAGGGAAATGGATGGAGCTAGAAGAAATTATGTCGAGCGCGGTAAGCCAAGAGCAAAGAAACAAACAGTACATGGTCTCCCTGATAAGTGGATGTTAAATCCAAAATGTTAGGTGATACAACAAAATTAACAGGACTTAAGAAACAAAGGACTTCCATTCATCTGGTCCAATCACTACTAAATAACCCCATGCTGCTGATCACATGTATGGTATATATGTGTACACTGGAGGGGAACCAGGAAGACGACACAGAACTAGAGGGAATCAGGGAAAAACATATAACAGCGGGACCCATCAGCTACACTGGACATTGACCAAAATGAACTAAACAACTCAATGGCAGCGATGGGAGGGAGGGAACAAGTGGGAAAGAGGGAACAGCTGATGCTATGCAAAACAAAAGAAATGTACATATCACCAATGTGGAAGAAATAACTATCACAAAGCTCATAGAACTCATAAATGTTATAGACCATGATAGAAAATTTGCTCCAGGAAAGTTAGACTGTGTTTGTGACTTTAACTGAGCCTTACTATCCCACAATACTGTGAAATTTGGGAAATTACGTAACTATTTAATCACAATTTAAAAAATTGAAAAAAAAAAAAAAAAGAATGAGCCAGGCGTCAATGGTCCATGCTTGTAATCCTAGCTACACAGGAGGCTGAGATCTGAGAATCGCCGTTCAAAGCCAGCCCGAGCAGGAAGGTCCATGAGACTCTTATCTCCAATAAACCACCAGAAAACCAGAAGTGGCACTGTGGCTCAAGTATACAGCATTCACATTGAGCTGAAGAGCTTAGGGACAGTGTCCAGGCCCAGAGTTTAAGCCCCACAACCAACAACAACAAAATGATAGTTTGTTAATAAAAGTTATAGGAAGAGACAACAGTAAAATCACAGCTAGATTTAAGAACTTTTTAAGTCTAGATTTAAGAAAAATGCCCCATAATCAAAGCAAACATTCATTCAAAAGCATATAATCTTAAAATTTCAGAATACCAGGAGAAAAAAAAATCTAAAAGCTTCCAGAGAGAGCTGAGAAAGAAAGCAGACTGCATACTGGAAGTGGGGGAAGGGGAGCAAAGTGGTATTATATACACTAATCACAATACTAGGATGACAGCTGCCAAAGAAAAATTCTTCAAGGTCCCTAGAGAAGATACATTTTTTTTTCCTGCTACAATTCGGCACCCAGATAAACTCTCCATCAGATATTTCCAGAAACCCATTATGGACGCGATGCAGCTCCCGTGACAATCATTCTTAGAAAGCCCTGAATGAATGTGTGCCACCAAAAAGGGGCATAAACCAAGAAAGAGGAAGACACGGATTCCACAAGCAGGGTACACACAGGAAACTCCAGGGTGACCACCATCTGGCAAGGCTGGAGGACAAGCAGTGGGAGGCAGGCCAGGGGCGGGGAGGGAAAAAAAGGGTGTAAGAATTCATGGTCACTGATACAGTATTTAGAACATGGAGGCCAACAGCGGGAAGCATGTGAAGAACCTGCTAGCTCAGGCACACGGAAGGGCCTGTGCGTGAAGAACCCACTAGCTCAGGCACACGGGAGGGCCTGTGCAGGCGCGAGTGTCCTACCACACCGCTCATTCCTACTCGTGGGGCCTCTGGTATTGCTGGACAATGTGCCGCAGTGAGCTCTGTCATCTTCACATGTGGTCTTGGGGTCGTCAGGACCAGTCCTCTGACACTGCCTCTCCTCTCAGTGGTGTCACCTGTCCGCTCGCGGACTCCTAGTCTTCGTACCTCTAGTCACTGCTAAGACAAAGGCTCTTCACACTTGCATTCAAAGGGGCAGGCACTCTGCTCTGCATCTCCCCTTCGGTGAGGCCATGAAATGATGCTGCCAGTGCCCTCCAAGTCTAATATGGATTTCAAACTGCTCTCTTCCCAAAACCTTTAGCAAGATGCCAAGGACAGTGGGGTGGAGGATGGTGCTGTAGAAGGAATCCTGTTCACTTTCACAGTATTTGGGTGAGAACCTACTATATGTTCTGGTCCTTTATTGCTGTCTTCAAGCCTTTTCTTCTATATTCTCACACACTATCTATCTATCATGCCCACACCTCACAAGGGAAAAAACTGTTGGATAACTTCACTGGAGAAGTATGAAGGAAGGGGAAAATTTAATTCTGATTTCCTGAATAGTAAAAAAATAATATGGCAGGATACCAGAAACCATCCCTGAGGATAATTTTTAAAAGGGAGATAAAAATATAATCAAAGCACAATCACTACAAAATTAGAATAACTTATGTTTAGGTATGTCACCACTATTTGAACTCAAGTAATTCTCCTGAAATACTTCTACCAGGAAGTGTTCAACAGACAACTCCCATCTCTAGCTCTACTGGTGGAGGGGTAGGTGTCTTAATTGCACTGTAGAAGACTTTGCTCTTTTTAGTTGCAATAGTTTCTTCTGATGGTCTCAGCTACATCTTTCCTCATCAATTTTGCCACAGGACTTTTTAACCTTGTTATTATATAGTCATATGTGGCTGCTGAATGCTGTGAGTATAGCACTAATTCTAACAGCTACCATGAAGTTCATATTTTGGTATATCCTTGCATTTGGGCTCCTTACTAATTAAGAAAAAGCAAAGCCTTATCCATATAGCACACTGATGAGTATGCGCACACACACACACACACACACACAGTAACCACATGCTAGGTGAACTCCTTGCAGGAGGGTCACTACGGAGGCTGAACTCAGGACCTCACCCGTGCTAAGCAGACATTCTATCATTTAATCACACCCTCCATCATTTTTGCTTTTAAATAAGGTCTCACATTTTCCCCAAGCCACGTTAGACCATAATCCTCCTATTTGCATGTTCCACATATCTAGAATGACAGGCAAGACCACACCACCGTGTCTAACTGTTCATTGGCTGAAGTGGGGTTTTACAAACTTTTTTCAGGCTACCCTAAAACTACCTCTGGATCTCAGCTTTACAAGTAAGCAGGATTACAGACATCAGCCATACCCCCAGTTTTTCCTTTTCTCTTCTTTATACCAATAGCAAAAAAGAAGTAAATAACATTTTTTCCTTCTCATCTTCTATGAGTTTTCACTAGGACACATGGTTTTCATGTTTTTAAATTTTAACTTAATTTTCTGTTCATTTTTAAATGACCCAAAAATACTAATATCTAATGTAAAATAAGGCACTGAACAGGATTTTCATAGATATGCTTTATTTTAACTTTCAATATTAAGAGCGAAGCTGACAGTAAAAAAAAAATAAAGTTAACAAAAAATACTTTGCTACCTATTTCTAACAATTAGTAATCTGTCCCAAACCAGTAGTTTATTTTTGCTACACTGAGGTAAAGGACCAGGCTGACAATGAAGTATTCTTCTGTCTCTTCAATCCACACGAGCTCTGCATGTACTTTTCCTACTTCATCCTTGTAGTCGACATAGTATGTGTGTCCCAGGAAAGTGGGGCCGTCGGAAGGGCAGGTGACGGGCCTCATGCAAACGGGAGAACTGAAGCACCAAAAGGGCTTTCTTTTTTCATCCAGGAGAGTCACATCTAGTATGGGGCACCTCTGAAAGCAGACACAGATTCACAAGCGGCAGGGTAAGATGGCCAGTTAAACCCCATTTTCACAGGTCATTCTGACCCAATGTAAACCGAGTGGGAAATGCTGCATGTATCATCAAAACCCAGAATGCTATCACTGGCACGCAGGCTAGTCATCAGTAGAATGTAATCAGTACCTGCTGTGTCTCTCGTCACTAGCACTCACACTCATCCAAACACCAGGGTGAGTTTCAGGGGAGTTTCAGGGGAGACCAGAAAGTAGTATTGGAGGCCCAGAGGAGAAACACACTCCCTCACCTTTCCAACATCAAAAGTATACCTTGCCTTAATCATACATGCAACCAGCAGCACACTCTCCAGAAAAGAGCCAAAGCATCTTTCTTAAGGGTTTGACCCCCTCCCCATGATGAACCCTTGCTCTGCCTATTCAAGTCTTCCTGCAGAAAGCAGCATTACAGAGCTTTACTGAAATATCTGATTTAAATTAAACTTGATGCCAAGCTCTACACAGAATTAGAAGTAACATTAAAATAACATCAAAAATGCCAAGGCATGAAATAAAAAATGGAAAAGGCAGGTATGTAAAGAAAAGCATTAACAGGAGAAACATATCAGCAGGATATCCAGTGGTAACGGAGAGCAAACACTCGAGGGAAGTGCTTACTGTCAATGACACTGGAGGCCCTAGCAGGCAAGGCTGCTTGATACCCCAAACCGCGCCAACAAAGAGCATGGGGACCATCTACACAGGAACTGTCCTGTGTGCGCCAACACCCACACTCAACCACTGTAAGCCATTTGAATGCACTTTATATTGTAACCTGACTTCAAAACACACTGTGTTCTGATAATAATAGGTTTTCTGGTGTTTAGGTTGAGCCATAACCACAGGGACATTCGGGCTGTGAAGCTGGACACAGTGACTCCAGCTCAACATGCCTAGCATCGCGAGTGCTGCAGCCCGCATACCCAGAGCTCCAGGAAGGACCCTTCTCACGGATCCGTGAAGGCCAGATGATCAGAGCTCCAACAGAACCCCACACTGCTTCGAAGAAACCAACGCAACAAGGCACTGCCTCCAACACCATCGCTAATACGGCTTTACGCTTTCTTTACCATTTGTTGAGTGAGGCCTTGGGACCAGAATCAGAATTGGGGTGACATATTTTTCTTAACTGCCTTTGCTCAAATGGTTACTGTAAGAATTAGAAACCGTCTACAATATCCCAGGGGAACTGTTTATTTTCTTATATCCTTTCTTGTTTGTTTTTTTTTTTAAAAAAAAGGCCTGTAATCGTTGAAAGCAATTTTTAAAATGTATTTTACCAAGCAAAGGACCTGGCTCAAGTAGTACAACACCTACCTAACACATATAAGGCCCTGAGTTCAAAATCCCAGAACTGCCAAAAAGAAAATGTGTTTTATTCCTTAGGGGAAATTCCTCAGCTACCTGGCAAACACAAGGGATATAAACACAAGATGGAATACTCACCTGGCTTCTTTTTTAGGAACTCCAAGATTGGACTAGTTTTAATACGAGTACTATACGTAAATGGCAAATGCAGATCAACCTGCTCACCTCTTAACCAGGCAGAGCTGGTGCTGAGGCAGATTTGGGCTACATTACTCCTTCTTTCTCCCAAACTGCCTGGGACCAGGCCAGACACTCTCCACTTCAAGACCTCAGATCTCTCTTTAGATCCTAAGTCACACCACTTTAACGGCCTGTGGAGGCCCTACCTGGAGCTCCTTGGAGGGCTCAGGTTTGCAGCAATGTTTTCAGACTCTGAGAAAGACTGCTGAGAATTCAGTCCTACATTTGTGACTGTAAGACTATTTAGTATTTAGTGTACCTTACACATGGGGGACTTGGTTTTCTATAACACAGCCAGGACAAAGCTTTGTTTCTTAGTATAATTCCTACGCTTTCCTTTTCCCTTCCAGAGGGAACTAAGCTACTGCTTTTATCTTACTCTAAACTACCAGAAAATATAGAATTAAACATAAAAGGACAACCTGACCCTTTGTCATCTTGCCTTTCTTACTCTGTTTTGCGTTCATGTTTTATTTTAGTACACGTTTTCACTGTAAGCCCATCTATCACAGAAAAAAAATGGGTTTGCATTCTTAAAGATATGAAACAATTATCCTTTGTGCATGATAAGCAATTTTTCCAAGTCGTACATATTCGCTTATAGACAAATATCAGAAATAAAACATGTTCTTGAACCAAATACTAAGTGGGTTAGGAGATAATTCTAATTCTCTGTGGCAACATGGCTCAAAAGAAATAGTATATCTACCATTGGAGCTACCCTACAGATGTAGGGCAGAATAATCTTGGTAAAGAAGGAGAAGCAGTCAAGGAGATGTCACTGGCTTTTCTGACTAAGAAATCCCATTCATCCCATCAAATACAAATGAGAATACTGAGATGCAGAACAGTAAGGGCACAAGGCCACCCAAGAAGGGAACTATATGTAATCTTTCCCCACCATCTTTTCCCTCTCTCCCTGACAATTCCCTACAGAAACCAACTCTCCTCTTTATGTAGCTGTTTTTATTTAACTCTAAAGAATATATCTGTAATCAGAATCAATAACTTATAACTACAATAAACTTTATATTGATTGGTACAAAAGGATGTCTCTTTGCAAATGCTACTTGCCTAGTGCAACTTTCAGCTCCCCTTTCTCTACAGAACAGAAGGAATGAGAGAGTGAGGTTATAGTTAGTCCTGTTCAGAAACTGCTGCAGTGTACATACCAGTCCTACCCCACCACAGGAAGAGCAAAGGGTCTCAAGAAGCTCTTGGAGAAGAGCTGAAGACTGTAAAAATCATAAAATCCACAGAAATTAGAATATAACATATTTATTAGAATAAATATATGCACATCAACAGACATTTTTTCTATTATACATAAATGAGTTAAAAAAAAAAGTCCTTCTTACCTCTATAAAGCCATCAAAAGCATTAGTTCTCCAAACAAGGCCAACTTTTCCAATGAGAGGTAGATGTTCTCTATTGTTCTTAAAATTTATCACAATGACCTTCACATATCCATCTTCAATGTACCCTGAAAGGAACTAATGTTATTTTAATTACCACATTCCAGTCAGGATATTAAATCCTCAGTCTTCAGACTAGCCATTCCACAAGAGATGTTCTGTGTCACACTGAAGACATCAACACAGCTAATCCTAAATACCAGCATGAGGCCAGAACACTGTAACCCTGTGACTCAAAGATAGGGGAAAAAAAACACATTATGAGGAGGTGTCATCCAGGGTTACATCAGGGGAGGATGGTGGGGTGAACCTGGATACACACCTGTAACTATCAGAAAGATAAACGTTCACCTCAGTCATGTTGTTGGAGTTCCATTTCTGCACTAAATACCTAAGATAATCAAGTTCTAGAGATGAAAAAGTTATCTTGGCTCACAAATTTTAATGGTCCAGACCATGGTGGCTAGACCTCCTAGCTTCAGACTGTGGCAAAGTAGAATATCATAGCAGGGAGCAAACAGAACATGATGCTTTCCTCAGGGCCTAAAGACCTTCTACTAGGCTACACTCCTAAATACCCTACCACCTTCCAACAGGGCCAAGCTAAGGACCAAGACTTTAACCTATGGACTTTCGAGGTCCCTCCAGATCCAAACCATATTACTTAGTCAAGCCAATTCATAGCAATGGAAAAGCAGAAATACAGAGCTTAATAAGAAAGCAGATGTAGAATGGCTAAGGAAAAAAGGAAGCTAAAAAGGACAAAGCAATCAATGGTACCAAGAAAGGAGGGCCTGAAGAATGGACGGGCAAGAAAAGCTAAGGGAAGGAGCCTAGCGCACAAATCAAACATCTTCGCCCATGCAAACACTTACAAACCCTAAGGACAAATGCTGTTCCTCTCCTAACTGTCCCAATGCTGGGCACTAGCAGCCCTCCCACCTCATGGTACACAGTCACTTCAAGGCCTCTTGTGATAGAGAAGCAGCAGCACTCCCCAGCTCAGGCAGAGATGCACTCCACAGATCAAGCTAGCACACCATGAGGCGTGAATGTCCAGGATCAGGAGCGTAATACTGTAGCATCTCCACACTGTCACCCAAGTTTCTTCAGAGACTGACCCCAGAATAAAGGTTAAGTGAGAGTCAGGCAGCAAAGCATACCAAAACAAAATCAGAAAAGAGCAAATGTTCTTTGTCCCTAGGTTTAGTTATTTCACAGGACAAAATAAAACCAAAGCTAATTTGTTGCAAAAAATTATATACAGTGTTCCCCAACTCAGTGCAGTGCAGTCTGATTGTAACAGGGCCTTCTGTGCTGCTGTGCTTTTAGTGAAAGGCACTATCAGAAGCAGAGTGCCACGCCCGGCAGGGGGGTGCTCCTAGCCTCCAAGCCCAGGTGGCCATGCTACCTGCTTCTGTCTTACTTTTGGCTCAAGGCAGCCTACGTTTTCTTCTGTCCTGCTAAGTAATTAGCAAGAGTGTAGAGAGTAAACCAGAAGACACTGTCCCTTCCCAGGCTCTATGTCACCTCCTAGACCCAAAGAAGGGCCCTAGGCCTAGGGGGAGCCATACCAATAGCATTTTGATTAGACCAGATGATTGGACCAGATGTGACTCTGTGTACTACTGAACACGCATGTGCAAAGGCAGGAGAGACCACTGACTGGCACAGAAATTCAGGCTTGTGTGCTGTCAGCCATCAAAACCAGACATGAAACCAGAAGGCTATTTTCCATGTGGCTCATCCTCAGGACATTCAGAAAATGAACCCAAATACAAGGGCCAAAAACACTATAATGGCAACTGTCTAAGCTAGTAAATACGAGATCCTTGTAGTAAGAAAAGCCTTTCATTTTATTATTAGCAAATATTCTGCCACTTCAGAACAATTACAGTGCTTTTGACCACACGCCCTAGGTGTTCAGCATCGTGAGTGGTGAATGAGAAAGGTCTTCCTCTGAAAAATCACAGTAGCAAAGAAACACTATTCCTTTGAGCAGATACAGGTAGAACTCAGGAGTATACCACTGAAGTTATAATGGTAATGCTTCCAGAAAAGAAGCCTCACAGTGAAGTAGACATATGTAAATGAAAAGACTGATCCAGTATATTTTTACTACATGCCTGTGCTCTTAAACTCTTCAGAGTAAATTCTGCTGTTGAAGATACTAACCTTAGATGCTAAGCTTAACTTGTCAGCACAGAAGACCATTCCCAATTTGTAGTCAAATATCCTTTGAGGCTCACCATCATGGCTTCTAGACAATATATTCATAAGCATGAGCTTTAGAATAAAACAATCAAAAACCCTGCCCAGATATTTGTTACTCCAAACTGAGTAAAACAGGAATATACTTTCTAAGGCTTTGTGAGGGCTATTGGAACCAACAACAAATATTACCCTTACAGGGTAACTCCTGATACCTGTCAGGCTAAATGTACTGAAGCACTTTAGTGTACTATTTCAATAAGAATAACACTCTATGTAAAGAGCAAGGTCCACTGTCAGGCAGAAGAGAGAAATATGTCCATAAACTGGAATTCTCAATGACTGTTAAGATGTCTCTTAACCTGAATTCACTTATAGACTTAATGTCATAACTACCATAATCCCAGCAAGCATTTTAATAAATAATTTAATAATTTAAATTTATAAATAACTAATAAAAATTCACAAGATGACTCTAAAGGTCACATGGGACCCCTGATTTTTTTTTTTGTCGGTCATGGGGCTTGAACTCTGGGCCTGGGCTAAATAAAGGTCACATGGAAATGCTAAGGATCTAATATAACCACAGCAATCTTGAAAAAGGAAAAGCTGACTTTAAAACATTACAGCAAAAACAGTATGGTATTGCTTCTAAGGATATGTAATACATCAACAGAATAGATAAGTTCAGAAACAGACCTATACTTTTTCAAGCAAGTGATATTTGAGAGAGATAACAAAATAGTCCAATCATCAAAGAAAGTCTTTTTTTACAAATAGTGCACAAAGAGCAGTACAGCATAAAGAAAAATACCTCAATACTTACCTCATACTGTACATAAACTAATTAATTATAAATCAAAGAAAGGTAAAAGAAAAAACTCTAAAACTGCTAGTAGAAACAATAGAGAATATTTTACAACCCAGGAAGGAAAAGACTATTGATAGGAGAAAATAATAACCAAGAAGTTAAAAACTGATAAATCAGATTTCATCAAATTAAAACCTGTGATCAACAAGATACCATTAAAAAGACCAATATATTTACTATATATGTATTTGACAAAGAACTAAGATCCAGAATACATAAAAAAACTGTAACAATTTAAGAATAAAAGGTAACTTACACATATATACATACATCTATATACATAGATGCATATGTGCAATGTGTTTACATATTATACATGCAAACTCATATGTGCAAAAGAACATATGAGTTATACATATAACATATATAATTCACATATATAAAAGATATATGCATTTATATATATATATTGTTTAATGATGTCCAAGTGTAATTATCTTTTACTATCCATTGGATTAACTTGTAGATTTATAGACAGTCTAACTATTACAAGTGAAGTAAATCATCCAGCCTATGTTTCCTTGGATCTGGATTACTTTGCCTAATATAATTTTTTTCAAGTCTTTCCATTTCCTTATGAATGAGGGCAGTGTCATTCTTTCTGATGGTAGCATAGAATTCCATTGTGTATATATACCACCCTTGTTTATCGGTTTATCCACTGAGAATCATCTGGGTTGATTCCATATTTTAGCTATGGTAAATAATGCTGCAATGAAAACTCCAGTCTTATTGAAGGAAGTGTACCAAACAGAATCATAATAAGAGATTAAAAAAAAAGAAACAGATATGCTCAATTTCATGACAAGCAAGAATGAGCCTGTATCATGTACTTGAACCAAGAATACTTAATAACATGACCTCTTCTGGCTAAGCTAGTGTGAGTTATCCAGTATTTTTATAGAAGTCAACTTAAAAATTGTCTGATACAGAAGCTGGGTTAATTTTGTAAAATAATTTTTGTGAATGTATAGATGGGAAAAGAGTTGAGATGATGAAAAAGATAAGGGACAAATGACTAAACAAACGTCCGTAGCAAAGAAAAGTAGATATGTTTAGAAAAATTAGAAAGTTCATTTTGGAAAGAAGTGAGACTTTTTTCTTCTCTGTTTCAGAGAAATAGATAAGCAAAAAAAAAGCATATAAATAATTTGTGATTCAATGAAGATGTAACAGCAACAGAAGATCGGGAAGCACAACAAGTAATGATTTTCCTTAACACATCCCAAGAATAAAGGAAACAGAGGGAGGAATCAGGAGTTATTTTTTGCTTTTATAAGGTACATGCACTATACATGAGGTGATATAAATTATTTGAAAGTGGATGTTGGCTGATGCTAAGTATATATGGCATATTCCAGGACAACAATTAAAAAAAGAAAGGACAATAGCTGATATTCTAAGAAAAGAGGGAGAGTATATAGAACCATATAAAATGCTCGATTAAAATCACACAGAAAAAAAAAACAAAAACAAAAAATGAGAGTAACAAAAAGAAAATGCTAACAAATATCGTGATAGTAATCCAACTATATCACTAATCTCTTTAGGAGTGGTGTCAAGGGAGGAGGGCAAACAAATTTAGAGGGGAAACGGAGATAATGGTGTTACAAAAGTCAGTGCATGTCCTACACCAAAATTAAGAAAATTGAGGGAAGCTATAGGATTGGGAGGAATGGAGGTGGCACTGATCAAGATGAATTGTATTTATAAACTGCTTTGTTAAATGGCTTTGTACAGCAACTTAGAGATAATTTAAATAGCTGAGCACTCACTGGCTTAGCGTGTAATTCTAGCTATGCAGGAGGCGGGGATCTGAGGATCATGGTTCAAAGCCAGCCCAGGCAGAAAAGTTTAAATTACAAAAAAAAAAAAAAAAAGTGGAAGTGAGCCGGGCGCCAGTGGCTCACACCTGTAATCCTAGCTACTCAGGAGGCTGAGATCTGAGGATCTCAAAGCCAGCCCAGGCAGGAAAGTCCGTGAGAC